CCCCAAAACCCCAAAACCCCAAAACCCCAAGATTCCAGTATATTTTTTATTAAACTTCAATGATTAAATAATAAAAATAATATTTATAAATTATGTTTCATGATGTTAATTGAGTTCTTTTGAGCTATGTTCATTAATTTTATATAAGCTGAATCTCTTTATTCTTTTTCTTTTCTATGTTCTCTAAGTCTGCTTTCATATTTCTATTAATAGCAAAGCCATTTTTAGCGCTCTGATAGCTGTTAGAGGTATCTGTCGGGATTGTATCAAAGCTAGCACTTTTTTATGCGTAGAATGAAGGGAAATTGTTTTTATCTTTATTTTGTTCATTGATAAGATCGGGGAGCTCAAATGCATTCTAATTTTACATGAATGGATTATCTGGCTGGAGGTTTGAGATACTGGTTACTCTTTGGAAAGATATTTATTTCTAGGCTTATGGGAGTGAGCTTTAAATTTTATTTGGTTGGATGAAACTAGCAACAGAGTTTGAAAAAGTGCTTTGCTGTTGATCTTATTTTTGCTCGATCAAATTTTTAGTCAAATCATCTTCGTCGTACTTTTCTGGTTTAAATTTTCCAAATATTTCAGCTATACTGTGATTGAAAGCGCTGCTATCTTTCTAAATGTCATTGTTCTTTTATTGAACACTCACTACCTCTCTACTGCTATTCTATTCTATTGTTTTTTTAACTAGTAAATCATTAAGGGAAGACTTAGGTGGCAAGTTTCCAAATGATTCAGCATTGTACATAGAGCTGTTGAAATTAGGTAAATTTATTTCAATGTTCTTTAGCTGATTGCTGGTTGATCTAAGTATTGGACTTCCATCCTTACCATTCATTTGATATCTTGAATTGAAATTTTAAATAGTAGAGGGGTTGCCAGTAGATTTATTTGCAATTTGAGCAAATTACTACTGCTACTATTGCAATGGTTATTAAAACTTCTATTATTCAGAGAATTAAATTATCTCTTTTTTAATGGCATTATTCTGATCTTATCTGATAATTTCCTGCTTTTTCGAATTCTCTTGGTTGTATTATTTGCTGTTGTGATTCATATAAATCTGACCTCTTTACTGCTATTATTCTTTTATTTCAATATCCTTCTTAGATGGTCTGCCTCTTTTTATAGGCTAAGTCACATATCTAATATTTGATTCAGAGGGAGAGCGGCTTCTGGACCTTGAAAAAGCGCCTCTACTATCAATATTAATGAAATCTTGATGAGTCCTTAAAGATTTGTTATAATGTTCGCTATACTACTCTGTTATTTATCTATGCTTGGGGGCTTTTGTTGTATGCACTGCCCTTCTCTCATGCTCATCTTCTAAAGGTATTTAGTTAAGGATTGGATAAAAGGGTCCTCTTTCATTATAAAATGAAAGAGGGAGTTTTTCAAAAGATATAGTCAACAATGTAGTTAAAATCTGTCTCAATGTCTGATTTGAAGAATGTTGAGCCCTTAATTGGGTTTCCAAAGAGCGCGTTAAAGTGAGCACTAATCTTCTCCACTGTAAGCATATTCTCAAAGTTTCCTTATCTCAATTCCCAGTATTTAAAGCTCTCCATAAACTTAGGATAGTTGTGTCGGAGGAAAGAGTAGAATATTTAGATAGTTTATTCATCATTCGCTATTTTTTTAGACAACAGGGCAGTCATCATCATTCTTTGCAGAAATAGCTTCTTCTTTACCTCAGTTATCACAATTTATTGATTAAGTATTTACCAATATGCTATCTCGACTTCATTCAGCATTAATAACTATGCAATATATAAGTAAATACTTGGCTTTTAACATGATCCCAATATTTATATATGAGATCAGATCAATTTTAATGACAAATTAGGACTCTTAAACTTACATTTGAGATGCAAAGCATTTATTTGTATAGAGGAAGCTATGATAGTTTATCCTTCTCAATAGAATCTAAAGTTGAAGTATTATTGACTATAAATGAAACAGAGTGCGGAACAATAAAGAATCTCATATTAAATAAATCAACTTACAATGCATAGAGAGTCTTTTGATTGCTCTAAGCTTTTAATGAACTACTTTGCTCTAATAAATTGATTTTAATTATTGCATACCTTTTCGAAAGAAATTCTAAGTTTTTCGTATTTATTTAGATTAGAAAGCAAATCCTTATCAGAAACCTCTTCATTTCTTGGGTCTCTATTATAGAATTGTAGTTTTTCTGCACTTTTTTCGTTTCTAATACAATTTATCGACTTATTATATTGGTACCTTAAAGCATGATCAAAGTTATTAACAAATTAGGGTCTTATTATGCCTGGGATTTCTTATTATTGATTCATAAGCAGGGTAAATGAGTTATTGAGGGATCTGTTGATACTTAAATCGTTCATTAAATTACAGCTTAGCTTAAAATTAATATTTCTGATAGATTAACAAATTTTTTCTTATTAATCATTTGCTACTATTCAGCTAGAACTTTCAATTAATTATATTTCTATTCACATAAATTTGACTTACATGGGGTTTTGGGGTTTTGGGGTTTTGGGG